AAAACACAATCTGCAAAGACTGTGTGAGTAAAGCTGAAAGGAGAATTAGCACTGATTTAAAATGAGACTTTACCGTTATTTGACCAAACTGTCCAGCTGTGTCAATCCAGTGGTGTTTAGGTTTAGAGCGTATTCGGAAGTGCATAAAAACGAACGTGTAGAACAGGAATAAAGTGGTTGCCAGTAAATGCCGTGACGTTCTTTCTATCAGGGATGTGCATACACTTGTCTGATTTCCTTGCTACACAGAGACTAGAGGAGCTGCTTTCTGGCGTATGCTTCCTCAATCACTGCGAAACTTCCCATTGTGTTTGAACAAAACAAGATCAGCTGACCTTACTGCCTGTGACTGGTTAACCTTTAAAATAAACTGGTTTTATAACTTTCCTGCAGGTGGTTTCCTGATGCTCTGTCATGGTCTTGTGATTCAGTTCATAAAAAACAGTCCTTACGCAGGCTTTCTCTCTAATAAATCTCCATATTTGTGGTTGTCTTGTGTTAGAAATTGGTTTAAACAGCTTTGTTGTGGCAACTTTTATGATGAATCAGGTTTCCAACAAGAGATTATGGCAGCAATAACTGAATGGAAAGTGGAGGATAAGGTTATTGGTTTTTAAGAGCTTTTCTTCTCTCTTGCAGGGAGAGCGTGCCACAGGTTTTGGTGTTGCTCTGCTCATGGCCCTGTTTGGTCAGGCATCCGATGACTCCATGCTGAACCAAGTTTCTCCTCTGGGTGCAACCACCAACGCGTCCAAAGACCACATGGAGCGCGACTGCAAACGGCGAAGATTGGTCTAATGAGGGAAAGGGGGGGGAAAAAAAACAAACAAAAAACACCACGCCACGGTTCACTCCCCCGACTGCTCCTGTGCCACCACACACCCAAACTGTTTAAGCAAGTGCTTGTCCAATTTAGAGATAAAATGTTTTAGAGTCTGTGTTCTGTGTTTGACTTGACCGAATAAACCAGATAAAAATGAGTCAATCAGATGTGGTATAAATGATTGTGATCAAGCACAGGCCCTCATTTGTGCTCGTTACGTGGCACTTGCCGCACTGATTGCCTGAATAGCTTCTTCATTATTCAGTTCTCATTGGTTATATTAAAATGTAAGCAAACTTCGAGTTAAATTAATTATTGATTCATTCTTCCTTTTTTTTTCTTGTGTTTTTACCAGATTCTACAATTAATGCAGTTGAATTTTTTTTTTTTTTTAACCCCATACCTCAAATGTTGCTTTCCAGTGTCCATTTCATCAGCAGAAATTTTTGTAATTTCATGCTTTATGCAAACAGAGAATAACGCCATACATGTTGTACTTAGACGTTCTGAAAATCACTGGCTCAAGATCAGTGAAGATAGACGTGTTATCTTTTGTAACAACTGCACTTTGTTAACGCTTTGTATCTTTGGACTGCCTAATCTCTGGACCAAAATGAGTGCTCACTGCACTTTTTAACAGTTTCACTCTGTCACATGACTGCTGACATGCTTTGTCAGCATAAAACACACAGGCCAGACGTTAACTGTAAGTTGAAGTGTTCGTTTCCAGCACAAACAAGTTTGTTTCTTCTTCTATTCGTATGACAATCGTGTTGTCCTTCAATAAAGGTGGTGCCATCTGTCATCTGTGTATGTAGATTCAGTCACTACAGAATTAATAAGCTGAAGGCTTGTTTGTTTAAACAAAACAAACAAAAACAAACAAAATGATCTTATCCCCTCACATGACTTCAGCAATGTCTATCCAACTTGGCATGCCAAGTGCTTTTATTTGTAGTGCGGTTTGCTGTGCTGGTGTCTTGTAGCAGATCCCCAGTTATCATCTTTCCCTGTCATTCAAATTTCAAAATAGCCAAACACCTAAAAAAAAAA